TAAAAGTGTGAAACCCAAGCAGCACCAAAATAACAGGAGTGGTTTTAGCAAGAGTCCACAAGATAAGGGAGGAGACAGGAGAAGGAAATACACCCTGGATGACTCCGTGTTTCTACGTTGCTAAAATGTTATGTTCTGCCTTATGGTATATTTGAACCTAACGAGGGCAGGAAGGGAGGACCTTCTGGACTTCACATTCACAAAGGCCTCACATACAGACTTGAGGCTCTATTTCTAAATGAGGCTACACACCTACTCACAGGTATACAAAGAGGATGGAAAGCTATCATTCAACTTGAATTTTTAAAATATACCACGAAGTTTGCAACTTGGCTTTGACCTTTCTTCATTTTTTTTAGTGTATTGGGAGCCTCCAATAATGGAAGTGGCTGGGCCTTCTCTCAACCTTGAAGAGGCGTGTGTGTATCTTTTTATGTGTATTTGTCCTCCAGTGCACATTTTCATAACTGGATTGGATGTAACATGCTCAATTAATTAGGGAATACATTTTTATTACCAACACCACTATTGGTTATAATTTGATCTCTATAAGGAACTGGCCAACTAGGCAGATTAGCGTGAACTGGCTCATGACTGGAGCTGAACAAAGATGTTGTGCGCTCAACACATCTGCTTTGCATATTTGTGCTTTGTTTATCATAAAACAGCTGATAATGATAAGGACGTGTAAGAAGCACAGTGTTAATGATAGTGTGAGTAGAAAGTGCGAACAAAAACCATGACTTCTGAGCAAAAGCTAGATGTAAATTAAACTCCGGATTTGTTCAGAGTTGAGGTTTTATAGCTATACATTTACGGCATTTAGAAAGACCTTTGGTGTTGAAATTCCTGCAAGAATAATTTCATTGCTTCAAGTGTGAAACTCCCCATTCACTGATCCCAACTCTTCCCACTGAAGCAGTTGCTTCATAATACTGTTTTTGCTGATGTGACCATTTTATTATGGAACAGTGTGTGTATTACAAAACACATGGAGCTTATATAATGCAACATTTCCTAACACACAGTACACGGATCACTTGTGGCTCAGGAAGTATCTGCAGATAGTATGAAGACAAACATTTTAATTTCAATAGTTGTAAGTTTCTTTTAATGTGTGCTTTCGATTTAGGGCAAATTTTCCAACTTGCCATTGATGGTAGAATGATGCACAGCTTCCTTTTAAGTGTAAGCTAGAAGGGGGTCAATTTATAGAAAAATACCAAATAAATAAGCGGTAGTCTGCAGGATAAAGCAAAAATTGTGAGAGTGCTCTGCAAATGACCCATGTTTTGGAAACAATGGGCTATGTAATAAAAAGAAAGAAGGTGTAGGCTTTGGGTTGAGTTTCTGACAGTGATGATGGCCACACTGAGCCATCCTGGAGACCAGTGCCACACACATGTAAGGCTGCTGCCTGATGCCCCAGGAGCGTGCTTTTCCACGTGACACTAATTGGCCCACACAGGAGTGAAACCATGACCCTTCCCTCATTAGCCACATGCTCAGACCAGCTGAGCTAGCTCGCTCTGGGTCACTGGGGTCCCATGTAGGAAATTACCATTCCAGTGCCCTGTGGTCCTCTCGTAACCCCAACTAATGAATGTCCTGTGGAGCCTAATGTCATTCCTGGGGGAGCACACTGCTCTCCCAGCAGTGGAGAAGTTGATGATATTCTGAAGTTTTAACCCAGGGAAAGCCAAATAAGAAAGCACAGAGAACTCAAGAAGCCGGAGAACAATCTTTCAAACACCTGTGTGCTAGAAAAAAGGATGACAACAGCATTCTGCTCTGTCCATCTGTTTGCCAGGGCAGGTCTCAGGACACAGAACGCAAGCACAGAGAAGTAAAGAATGCTAAGCATCTCACAGCAAGCTCATCACAGTATAAATGACATTAAGTGCTTGCTGTCTGGACCAAGCACTTTCTGACACCAACCTTGTGAGGTAGGGTTGATATAGGATAATCCCTACTTTAGAGATCAGGAAATTAAGGCTCCGAAGTAATTAGTGCAAGAGACTACGATAGCGAGCTCCTCCCAGGATTGCTGTATTCTAGAAATTAACAAATTATCAAGTTGAAAGGAAATTCTACAAGGTGGACAGAGAGCTTGCCAAACATTTCTGCCTGTGCCCCCTTTTAGGTCTCAGGAGAAAGACTGTAAGCCTTCAAGTAATCTTTATTTTTCTGTAGCTTTAGCACATCCATAGTTTAGCCTTGACAAGAGTTTCCTTAATAAGATGAATATATAGTCAAGGCCAAGAGAACGCATTCTTTCCAAGTGTTGGAGAACACTGGAAGGAAAGGGACAGCAGACTTTCTAATGCATATTGAAGAGCTGGGAGAGACCACTATGTCACCCCATCTCATCTGCTTTTTAACAAGGCTATTGGATCGATACCCCTTCCAGGGCCAAACTTACTGGTGGATGAAATACCTCCTGGTGCTCACTTGGCAGCCACTATTCCCAGAGCCACAGTGGGCCTGCTGCCCTGGGGGTGCCCACCACCCTCATCCTCTTTGGAAGCCATGAAGCCCTGTGTGTATGTTCACTTCCACCTAAATAACAGTATGAATCAGAAGGGACTAGAGAAACTTGAAGCAGATCACCAAACCATGTTTTAACTCAACCCTCTGGTTTCTGATTAATTGGAGGGGATGACTCAGCTTTGTCAGTTTCCTGGTCAATGCCTGAGAAATTTAATATTTTTAAGTTACAGCTGGCTAAAATAAACTCAAGAGTCAGACAGACCTAGAGAGTATCCCAAATTTGCCATTGATTAGCAAAGAGATGCTGGCAAGTTACTTTCTGGTTTGTGTTTGTGTGTGTGTGTGTTTTTAAGATTTTATTTGAGAGAGAGCACAAGCAGGGAAAAGGGTGAGGCAGACTCCCCACTGAGCAGGGAAGCCCAAAGCAGGGTGATCCCAGGACCTGAAGATCATGACCTGAGCTGAAGGCAGATGCTTAACGAACTGAGCCACCCAGGCGTCCCAAGTTACTTTGTTTTAGTTGCCTCACATATGTAAGAGGGATAAAATCTTTCTCTCTTGGTGGTTGTATTTAAATAAGGTAGTGCATATAATATGCTTGGCACAGGGCTGAAATGCTAAAAAATGACAGTATTTCTTATTGCCTGATCTGTCCTCTGCCCCTTCACATAGCATGATTTGAGTGAAATGTGGTGCAAGTTGCCATGGTCCAAAAAGCCATGAGATAGTTCTTAATTATAATCTTATCTTTAGTTATTCATTTGGAGACTTTACCTATTTATTATTTCACATTCTGTATTCCTCTTTACTATAGGCTTCTGAGAAATTATTTCTTGAGGTAGAGGGGACAAGGTCTTCTGAGGGCTTGACGTTAAGTGCTATAGGAGACTTACTACCACTGCCCACCCACCCCTTCTGCCCCCGGAGTCCAGCCTAAAACAATAGACTTTTCTGTGTCTACTATAAGTTTTCCTTTGACTCAGGAGCATATTTGCTTGGTCTCAGAGTGGAGACTCCATTCTGATCATGGAACCTTAAGACAGATGAAACCTTTCTTACAAGCGTGCTCCCAGGCATCAACATTGGGTGAAACTGACTTGTTTCCAAAAGTGAGAAAACTGCTAAGAAACAGGGGCATCGAGACCGTTTGCCCGGGGTACTCCTTAGCCAGCAGCTGGGAAGAGGCTGGGTGGAGCTGACCAGATGCGGAGAAGAAACAAGGAACCCCATGACCTGAGACCGGTGACAGTCTCCTGAAACACGGGATGCTGGGCAAGCTCGCTGTTGACCATTCTTCTTCAAGCACATCCACTGGCTGATTGCCATCAGTCAGGTTTCCTAGGCTTCAAATTAGGCAAATCCAATATTGGGAAGAAACATTTATATTACCACTTGGGTTGATTATAGCTTGTTTCTCCTTGATTATCTCGGTTCAGACTGGTGAGCTTTTAACGATGAATTGTAGCCATGACTGGAGATCCGGGAGACTCAAGTCTTTCTGGGGCCTCTGGTTTAGCAGTTCTCTTTAACCCACTGCCACCTAGCGGCAGCTGAGCAGACTGAGGAGCGCTCCACTTCTATTCAGGAAAGAACGTGGTGGGGCAATAAACTTGCCACTGGAATCCGGGAAGCTTAGGGAAAGATAATAGATATCTCTCATTCCACTGGCTTCCATCCCCCTGCCAATATTTAACTGTCACTGTACATTTTAAATGTCAAGCTAGCTGACGGTCCTGCCTTTTTTTGATTAATGAGGACATTCTCATTTAATCAGAAGTCTTTGAGATACAAAACAAACAAGCAAGGGGGAAGAATTAGAGCATGTGGGTCTTGCCTCCCTTCCCTCCACTGAAGTGGTTAGAAATTTCTTGTATGTTGGCTAAGCCCAGCTTAATATATTCTTTGAAAGTGGGGAACTGGGTCTTGACGGTTAACTTGAGTTTTCCCTCTCTAAGTATCAGTGTGATTTTTGTCTACCTTACCCAGGTCACTCAGTTCTGGAAGCACACAGAGGAGATCAAGTAATCTATGTGGCAAATCTTGGAGCAGTTCAACTTCCTTGTACATGCACAGAGGGAAGCTGGTGACAAATTCAAATATTTCCGGAGCCATGTGAGGATCAATTAGTCAAATGTGGTCAAACCCTCAGAGGGAGCAGAGTGAAGGGTGATCTTAGCAGATCACGAAGAGAGGAGGTTAATGCCAGTGAGCTAATAGGTAGAGTAAATTCACAGGGCAATTACCATTGCTTGGAGTTTAGAAGAGATAATTCACAATGTGGGCCAAGTTCCTTTTCTAAGCATGAGCTTCTAATAAACATGGAAGAACAAAGCCACACAAGGAGAGTTGATGTAGATATGTGTGCTTTGGTAAAGAAAAGGTACAAGGTTACAACAATGAGATGCCAGAAGGCTTGAAACGCATTAACTTTCTAGGTGTGTCTTCACTTGGTCATAGACTCCCATGCCTCCTCCCCTCCATCACCCCTCAAAATCAGCAGAGACAAAGCGGTCAGTACATTAATACAATCATATTTATTACAGATTCCAGACTCCCATATGACACACACCTAAGCAGAACACTGCAAACTGACGTTACTAGCAGCAATCCTCCCTAAACATGAAGAATTTAGGTGAACTTCACAATTAGGAGTAATTTCAAGACAAGATTATAAGTTATGGTTTTTCTTTTAGCAGCTGGTATATGAATACTGAAACTAGAAATACAGAGAGTCGTCCAGGTTAGCCTTGTCTAAAAAAACATCAATAAGTCACGGTGCAGAGGGGTACCCCCAGGGTTGCCAAACAGAAGGCTAATGTCTTTAGATGTCAGTAGGAAATAAGCAAATCACTTTTCAAGACACGGCTCACTACCTGCGTTACTGTCAGGACAACAGAAAAAGACCTGGACGGCTGCCCTAGAATCTAGCTCACACGTAATTCAGCCAGATAATCATTTCAATACTACCCCCTAAAACTGTTTAGACGTTTCCCCCCACAGCTCTAAAAACATAACATCAGACATAACATCAGACATTTGCTCCAAAGGACTAAAAATCAAAAGCAATTGCGATGTATTGGGAGTAGCTTTTATGGCTTTCCTGAGGGACAGTTGCCATCTTTTCAGAGTGTTTTTAAAGCAGTACTAAGTCTTGGAGCTTATCAAAATACTTTTCATTCTAAATAAATAAAAGACCAACTGAATGTCTCAGGTGCACTTATTTCTTTTCCCCCAGATCTCTGAACCATCCAAAGCCATTCCTTGACAGATAGCTTTCATTTTTATTAGAGGAGTGTAAGAGAACTTACAAACACTTGAAAAATACTCAAAACACTCAGAGTAAAAGAGGTGCAACCCTTCCTCAGAGCCCAGGAACCTGTGACAGGAACCCCAAAGGCTTATCTAAAATCCACCAACTCAATTTGCCAGAAAGTAGACCACCCACCTTTGCAACATAGGCCCAGATAAGATTTTCTTGCTTTATAATCACTAAGAAAAGCATCTGGGAGTTACTGCCCAGGAAAACATAGGCCGATGAACAGAAGCTACTGAAAAGGGGTTGATTGTAGTCTATATCTGGCACAGGAAAAGAAAAATTAAAACAGTTGCTAAACCATTATATTTATACCATGATACTCTTAGGTGAACCTTGGCCTTCCCGTAGCAACCATTTCATTCATAAAAAATACATACAAATGGGAAAGCTTTGGGGCAGCACCAGTGACAGCTAGCTGTCTTTGAAGAATTTTAATTTTTCCTAAAGGCAAAAATTAAGAGAAAATGTAGAGAATCAATTCTATTTCATGAATTTGCCTATGTCAGTGGCTATGGGGACAGTGCAAATAGAAATACAAAACCCCTCAGCATCAAGTTAGGGTTCTATTTTTCTCTCAAGGGGTAAGTGGTATACCTAGACTTCTGTACACAGCTTCTGAAGATTAAAGGCAGCTCATAGTTCATGCCTCGACAATCTCTAAAGGTACTGCTGGATAATTTTACCACGAGGAGAGATGAAGCCCCTCCTGACCCACTAACAACTCAGAGCAAGGATTCTCATGCATCTAGACTTTAATGTGAATGGTTTCTCGGCTTTCTGACTTGATATGCACCATGCACAGAGAGCAAGGAACCGACTGGTCTAAAGCCATCTGCAAATGGTTTCTAGGCTTTCTGACTTGATATGCACCATGCACAGAGAGCAAGGAACCTACTGGTCTAAAGCCATCTGCAAATGGTTTCTAGGCTTTCTGACTTGATATGCACCATGCACAGAGAGCAAGGAACCGACTGGTCTAAAGCCATAGACACTGCTAACGCTGGCTAACCATCTCACAAACGGCCCGCCATCATAAGATGGTCTCTGAACGGAGCATAAATGCTTCCCAAGTACTAGAACAAACAACCTAAAGTGGAAGTTCTCCTGGTGGTAGAGGCATAGAATCACCTCTGTGTACAAAGAATGGCACATGAAATCATTCTGGGTGTGAAACCACATCTCCCGTTGCTCAGTGCTCCTGAGAAGACCTCGAGAAGTGCACAGGTACGCCCCATGAACTGTCTCGGAAACGGATTCCCATGTCTAGAGATTACTTGAAGAACCCAAATTGGATGTTCAAAAATAAGTCTTATTCCTACCAATTGTTCTAAGCCCACATCCCTGGAGAATACTAGAAACCAGTTTTGTTGCATTTCAGCTGTGTAGGGCCCCCCTCAAGTGAGCTCGTGGGGGCCTCCAGAACTCTACCATTCTGGCTGTTACTTTCTCTTTTTCTTTCCTTCTCCTGAGGAAGACTTCAGTTATTTTCATAGCAACCTATTATAATGTTCTAGGTGATGACATATTTTGAGCAGCACATAGGTTATTAGAACCAATTTTTTCTTCCTTTTGAAAAATTTCTACAATAATAAAGAAAAGGCAATAATTTTAAAAACTGACTTCCCTAAAAAAGAATTGTCATACTTTGTACAAAACAGCATATTTACTAAGTAGTATTCATCCTAGAATCACTGTCCAAACCAAACCAATAAATGGGGGCATATGGGCACATCAGACTGATCACATGAGTTTAAAATAATTTTCAGAGCCAGAATTATTAGATTGGACAGAAAAATAGCAAACCAATCATTATCTGGACATATGAAAATTATATACAAACATGAAAATGCAGCATGTGTTTAAAATAAATCACGTTAGATTTAGTCAGGCACTAAAATGAATGGAAACTGATATATTTCTTTTGATACCAAACTTTTACTTTATTGGGAAAACCTGGTATCTGTTGCAACTTCTAGCTGAGGGACAGAAGGGCAGACAGAGGAGGACATCTAACAGGAAAGACTGGTAAAGAGGTAGAGGCAGGGGTACCTGATGATTAAACAAGATAACTATTAATTGAGAAACTGAGATTTTAGACATAGATTAGATGAGCAGATTCCAAAGATAATTGCTTGACTTTGTAACATGGAACCTCTCTAAATGTTTATTGTATCTGATATGGCTCTAACGAGGAATATTTACAATGCATTTTAAAATAAAAACAAGTAAATGAAACAAAACATCTTCCACAATTCCCCTTTGGGGATGTGTCATTTTTAGATGTGCACTGTCCCTTTGGTACTACCATACAAACCCCTTGAAAAGTTCAGGGGAAAGGGGAATTCTTTCTGACGATGAACAGAAAAGGGCTGGGGCTGGGATGTGAGGGAAGCAGCAAAGAAACGTTACTCTTCTTTTATTGAGGATATTCTTCTAAGAACTTCCATTGTCCTTTACGAGAAAGGAATGGATTATGGAAAACAATTCCTGAAGATATCACTGCCTTCTGAGGACAAGTTCATAATTATGACACCTACGGAGATGACTTTCACATGTAGCACCTACCTTGCTCATAAGACATAGAACTCTTACCGAGCTATGAAATATAGTTAGTAAAAGTTACTCATGGCACTTAAATATGTTTAGAGACATAAATTCTTTGTCTCAGTGCCCCTGTGAGGTAGGTGTCTGATGGGAAAACCTGAGGCATGGAGGGGTTAAGTCTGCTCTCCTTTCATTACATGACGAGCCAGTGGCCCAGCTAGCAGAGGACCAGGTGTCCTAACTCCCTCAACAATATTCACCCTGCTTCTCAGAAGGCTTACCTAAGTTACATAAAAATTACAGCAGGGGAATTTTTTTTTCAAACATTTTAACTAGTTAGCTATTTTTTTTTTCCTTAAGGATTTTATTTATTTGACAGAGACACAGCGAGAGAGGGAACACAAGCAGAGGGAGTGAGAGAGGGAGAAGCAGGCTTCCTGCTGAGCAGGGAGCCTGATGCGGGGCTCGATCTCAGGAACCTGGGATCATGACCCAGGCCGAAGGCAGACACTCAACAACTGAGCCACCCAGGCGCCCTAGTTAGCAATTCCTATTCCCACTTTGAACATAAGTTATTCTAAAATAAAACCAAATATAAACAAAACAAAAAATCAATATTGCCTAACAGTCTGTGTCTAGATGTAGCCTATTCTGTACTAGCGATTGAAAAAGCATATAGTATGATTCAAGTAGAAGTATCAGAGGGTGCTACAGTGTTCTCATTACTCAAGCCAGGCTGTGAGTAAAGTGTCCCTTAGAGATGCCACCCACTGTACTTTGTAAGAACCTCTTCGGCATGACACCAGGGAATAAAACTACCACTCCTGTTTCATGGAAATACCATTCTGAAAGTTAGTCTACACAGGCCAGCCCTAACCGGAAAGGGAACTCTCAACCATGTGATGCATACATACTACTGAGTTCATGCAGAACTCTTTGAAGCCAGATACGAAGGTCATAGTCACCTGCCATAAAGCTCACGGAACAGTTCACACTACGTACAGAAGGGCAATACACTGGGTACGTGCACTAGCACCATGCCACAGAAGTGAGAGAAGGACAAGAAGCCACCTCGTGAGCATCTTCTAGTCCCATCTGGCATGCCATTCTCAGAAGCTACCTCTGCTAAGTGGGGAAGACTGCTGAAGTCCTGTATCCCTTTAAATAATGAGAGGGGTAAAAACAGAATATTCATTGTCAGTTGCTCTGAGCATACTAGCTATCCAAATTTTACTCTTTCATAAGTTGGTAGCTTTCTTAGTTTTATAGATATTCAAAGGTAATAAATTACATTTCTCGATCAAGAGAGAATGGTGTAGAGCAAAATTCCAAGGTCATTTACAAGTTGTGGGTACAAGACTACAGGGAAATTTATATTGCTACTCTTAGAATCAAATTCATGAGTACTTAGGGCACTAGCTTTTAGAAATGAAATTATTTTTTGAGGTGTTTTTTCCCTCCCACCCTTTTAGTATCTGTGGGGTGAATTTAATTCATACCATGACCCCTAATTCAAATGAAGATTTGATATTTGGTTTGAGTGTCTAAACTCGACCATGACACCAAATAAGATGCATGTTGTTTCCTCTGTACAGCTTTTGACTTGATATTAATGCAAATACCCACCCTCCTAAGGCCTGCGTCCCCTTGAGGGAGCTCATCTTCCAGAGGGCCGGAGCCTGGCTCTATGCTCTGCACATGCAGGACCAGAGGGAATCATTCCAACTCAGAGTTTCACTGGGATACTAGTATACAGCATAGCAGCAATTCATGCATTTTATTTCTAAAAACCAAAGCTCCAGGGAGGCCGAGCTGGTCACTGTGCAAGATGAACCAGCAGGACATTCTCGCCTCGAATGAAAATCTGATTTATGTGTCGAGTGAATACCTGCTGGTAATCCACTTTGGGCTTTCGCTTTTTCTTACGGGGCTGGCCCCTGGAAAGGGTGGTAGCCCTGGAAAAGGTACCTCCCGCACTTGACCCTTCTGTCCGTGTAGTCCTCCCTGACATCTCTGACCTGGACTCCTCCCTTGCAGATGCCTGCAGGGAAGAAGGGACGGAGCGGGAGCGCCTGCGTGAGCCCCGGTCAGTATCTTCTCTTCCCCACACTGAAGCCACCTTCCAAGTAGATGTCTGGGAATATCTGGACAGAGTGGAGTCTTCAACTGCAGACTTAGAATCTGCTTCCTTTCTGGAGGTATCTTGAAGTTTTAGGCGATCAAACAGCTATAAGGAAAGCAATGATAAATATCAGCCTTCTCTTTGGCCTTCAACATCCCTCTTTCAATATAGAAAAAAACACCAGATTGCTTAATTAGGTTTTATAGACTCCTTGCTGTGCAATTTTTAAAAAGTTAGTAATGAATCATCTGTGTGTAGCCATAATACAGATAAATCAATAATGCCAAGAGAAAAGGCACCTGCTTTTTTCTGTGGTATAAAATGGAAAGACTTTTAAGGTTATAAGAGGTAACTTGTTGCTCAAATACTATGCAGGTCAAAAGCACAGACTCATTTGTGATTAGCTGAATGCATGAGAAGCGAGACTAATGAAGATCTTGGTCCAGGCATACATAGTGGACAGCAAATGAGCTCTCCCACTAGGAAAACCTGTTCACCAGGCTCAGTGATCTCCATTTCTAAGCTTGAAAGCACGCTGGGTACTCAAGAAGTCAGGGGAAACAGCCTACCCTAGTGAGAGTCAATGAAGAATCCCGCTCATACGCTTTGCCTAGAACAGGTTTTCGGTAGGTCTCATCCACATCGGTAAGTGCCTAGAAAAACAGCCCAGAGGAGAAAAAAATTTGGCAGAATTAAAAATATTATTTTTACAGCTTCCAGGAAAAAATTTAAAAAGCAGAATAAACATCTCATTTAGCAGAACTAAACTTAACAAGTGACTCCACTCTTGGGCAGAAAAAAATGGTAATACCTGGCACCTCTGAGTAAGATTTCCAAGCTGCTACCACCATATAATATGAGTTTTGTCTATGGTAAGGGGCCTTTACAAATGCATGGTAGAGGTCCTTAAATTTCAGTGTGCATAAGTATCTAGGAAGCTTATTAAAATATAAATCCAAGGCTACTTCCTAGATATGCTGACTCAGTAGGTCTGGGATAAAGCCCAGGAATTTTCTCTTTTAACCAGAAACTCTATGATTGTGATGTAGGGTGCCGCTAGGCCGCACTTTTTTTTTTTTTTTTTAATATTTTATTTATTTATCCGA